AAAATGTAGACGTCTACATTTTCAGACATAATTTGGAACGAACTGTGAACACCCCATATGTAATATTGATGCGCCTAAAACATGCAGCGAATTCTATTCTCAAGTTACATACCTGATGACAGTACGAATGACAATTATAATAGGGTGGTTTTAGTTTTTTAAACTATAATTTAATTTGTATCATGCTACTTTATTTTTACCTCCCTTTTTTATTTTCTTAATTAATTTCTCATAAACTATCAGGCCTATCGAAAAGTGATGTATATACGGTTTATGGACAATTTCATTGTCTGACATTTACCGCATTTGGTATTACGATTGTTAAAATGGTTCGTAACGTTTCGAAAACGTATCCATAGAAAATGATTTTCGCCGTAAACCAGTGTAATTATGAGAAAAATCTTTCATGAAAATAATTGTGAATATTAGAACTAGGTGTAGGCTAACATTTGACACTGACTGTATGTACATTAGGGTGGCCCATATCTCTAAAAGTGCTCGGAATAGCCTAAAGACTAAACTATACAAAGTTTTAGGTCAATCAAAAAAGATTTAGATGTGGCTCAAAGCGCTCAAAGTAGCCCATGTATTTTATATGGCGAAAAGACTATTTTTCGTAGATATTGTATAGAATCCTTGGAAAGCAATATTTTTCAATCCGCAAACTCTTTTTCTCTTCAGGAGACTTCCCGAAAAAATAACCAATTTTTTATTTAAAAGTTTATTATTATATCGTACTAGCTCTTACCCGCGGGTTTCACCCCACGTCTTTATACAAATGTGAAAAATATTTTATATAAAGATGTTATATATTATTTCTGATCTAATTTTACTATAGGAGAAAACGGAAGGACAGGTACTTTGGTGTGTACCAACTGGGGCTACCGCCCCAGTTATGTAGCCTTGGGAAAGGATGAGGTAACAAGAATTCCTTTTCTGTGTTGTAAACCTGGGGCTGCCGCCCCAGTGATGTCTATTATGGTTACTGGGAGTTTCATAAAAATGTCTTGAATATAAAAATGTCTTGCGCAAATGAATATTAAACATTTTTCAAGCGAAAAAACGCTTGGCCATGTTTCTAAGGGCTCTTTAGGGAACCATAGGGGGTCTAGGTGGTCGGGGCGACAGTTTTGTCAATGGCGGTTCATGCCCCCTCCAAAAAGGGTGGTTGGAGGTGCCACACCCACTTCTTCGCCCACCGCCCCTTTAATGAACGCCGGTAGTCGCAGGAGAAAAAAAGCATACCATTGAATTCCTTGATCTTTGCTCTTTTAAGCTGTAAAGGTGCGCGGTGCCACACCCCTTTAATTTTTTGTACCAGCCCCTAACAAACAGATACTTTTCGGAACTCAACCCAAAAATATTGCTTTTCAAGGATTCTAAACAATTTCTACGAAGAATAGTTTTTTCGCCATATAAAAAACATGGGAAACTTTGAGCGGGTTTGAGCCACTTCTTAAATCTTTTTTGATTGACTTAAAACTTAGTACAATTTAGTCTTTAGGGTATTCACACATTCTTAGGGGGCGAGACCGAGAGTCCACACACTTCTATTTTTCTCCATATAACTAAGGGCTGTCCTAATGTGCATATACATATGTATAGTACGTTCCCAATTGCAAAATTTGGTTCTAAATATGTTACTTAAATTTATTAATGTTTAGCTCAATTATTTAAAACATATTCAACAGGACAAGAAATGAGGAATGAACCGAGATATCGCTTAAAACTTAGTGCCCACAAATCCATACATATATATATTTTGTATAACTCACTTTTTATGGCATGGAGCTTTTTATCGCATTCGTGCTTGCTGTTTGCCAGTTTCTGGATGTTCCCTTTTAATTAGCCAATGGCTGATGAGCGAAATTTTTAATAAAGTGTGCGAATTCGCTTGCAAATACTTCCGATTTTTCAATTAATTTACTATTTTTTCTATTCTGGGTCTGCCTGCCGATTCCCACTCAATTCGTTGTTTGACACTTTTCTTTGCTTTTTTTTTTTTTTTTTTTTTTGAGATGCCCCATGCAACAAAAAAAAAAGAAAAATTTTTTTTAGAATCTTACAAACGCCAGGTTATACTTTCTGAATTGTTGGTCTTGTCGTATATTTTTGTGAGCGGTGGAACCAGGACTCGAACTCCAGGTAAACTGATCCCTCGAAGCACAAGTTGGTGGCTCACATAATTATTGAGTTAAATATTTACATAGTACAAATAAAAAAACCAGCAAAAAAGTGAAAATTATCCAATTCATTTTATGAGGACCCATATTGAGAGGACCTCTTCTTATACCTATATACTATATACCTAGTCTACAATATAAACATAGAAAAATTATTTTTAATAATGACAATAAGAACCAAATTGTGCTATGAACTTTGTAGTTTTACAACTATGTCATTGAATTGGTAACATTTTTGTAAAATGCACACATGTACTATACATGTTAAAGCCTTTGTATATCTGTATGTGTTTGTGAATAGATATTATTTATAAAATGAATTACCAGAAATTCAGTCTCATAAGCTTTAATTTGTACCCTAATTGACAAAAATGTCAAGACATATAAATAAATTTAGTTTCAGTATCTTTCAATTAAAAGTAAAATACAACATCTTTCTTCTCAATTGTTATAAATACAATGTTTTCTTTTTTTTCCTTCCACATATTTTTAAAATATTATTATTATTATTATTATTATTATTTTTTTTTTCCCCCACCTTTATTTTGTTTTTATTTTGTATTTCTTTTCCTTTTTTATTTTTTAATGTTTTGATTTGTTTCTTTTTTTTTCCATTTAATTTTATTATAATATTTTATTTCCCCCTTTATTTTTATAACCTACAGGACTTTGTCCAACTTGACCTTGTGCAGAAATAGAATCAACTCTCTTAGAACACCAAAATTTGACGAGGCAAAAAGTTGTTTTAGATTATTAAAATTCTGAAAAATTTTGAAGGTAAGTCTGGCAGCTGAAAATTTAGGACAGTCAAAAATTAAGTGATCATTTGTTTCCTTCACCTGGCAAACAGCACAACAATCTCCCACACCTCTCCTGAACTTGCTAATGTAAGCTCTCCCGTAAGTGTGTCCGGTTAATAATCTGTTTAAAAGTTTAATATCGACAACTTCTAAATTGCATTTTTTGTCACTAAACCACGGCGTCTTTCTAATGCCACTTCCAAAGTTTTCAGCAAAAACCTTTCCCTTAATCTCACTAATGTTAATAAATTCAACTTTTCACTCATTCCATATTTTCTCTTGAATTTTCCACAAAGCCTCACCCAAAGTTAACTCAACATTCATCTCCAGGCCCCTCCTGACCGCTTCCTTTGCCGCAAAATCAGCTTTTTCGTTAAAACCAACTCCCACATGACTTGGTACCCAAATTACTTTCCCAACCTCACATATCGACCTACTTATTAAATTGTGAATTGAGGCCACAATGTAATTAGACGTATTTTTCTTTGCAAGCAGCTTAGTCGCAGCCATACTATCAGTAAAAATCGCCCACCTCCTGACATTTTGCTTAACCAATATTGATACTGCCTTGTGTATGGCAGACAGCTCCCCAAAAGTTGACGAGAACTTCTGACTCAGCTTGAACATGTAGGACCAATTTTTTTGTGTATCATGAATAGCGACACCTACAGCCTCACCTGACACCGACGCATCAGTGGCTAATATGTAGATATTATCTTTTTGTAGCTCCCTAAATTTAGATAGATAAACAGTTTTGAGTTGTTCACTACTGTAGTTTTGCTTTGATCCACTTAAAGGTGACATCTCAACCTCAAAATTTTCATGTGTAGAAAAGGCAGTACTTGAATTTATACCATCAAAAATCGATTTGTGTTTGTTGTAAACAAAACTGTAGCTGGAATTACCATTGTTACCCTCAGACAGCCTTGCCCTTAAACAATCATTTACCATAATTTGCTTCCCTAACTCCTTCGCAGTGAGCCACTCCGCTCTCTTCAAAGGTGGAAGTTCCCCCGCTAGCACATACCTAGCATGCACAGGGGAGCCCGGAGGGAGTCCTAAACATCTTCTGAGTGTATCACTGACGATTGTTTGTATTTTGCTATTAAAACCAAGTGGTGCATTTGCATAAGTAGTGTTAGCATACTCAACTTTACTACGGACGAAAGATCTATAAAAGTTCAGAGCTATCTTAGGTTCCAGGCCTCCTTTAATTGTCGTTAGTTTCTTAATCAGATTTTTACTTGTTGTTGCAACCCTCTTTATTCTTGTAATATGCGGATTTATTGTCGAACTGGAAGTCATTACTCTGCCTAACCATTTAATTTCCTTTACTTGCTCAATTTTCTTGTTGTCCAGGTTAAGCTCCAAGCTTTTCCTGCTGGTTGTGTTCATAAGTAAGAACTTTGTCTTCTCTACATTAATTCCAAGGTTAAGCCTTTTTAGGCTGAGTACAAAAAGCTCCAGTTTCGATTCTAGCACTTTAATAGCTTCTTTTTCATTTTTTCCGCTGCATAGGAATGCAAAGTCGTCCGCAAATTGAAACATCATCGTTCTTTCATCATTCAAATCATGCAAACTGGCGGTATATAAGTTGAACAACAACGGAGACAGACAGCTACCTTGCGGTAATCCGTTTTCTACTTGAATAGAGCTATTACCCAAAACTAAAGTCCTACGAGAGAAAAAGTTCACAATCCACTTCCCAATGCTGGCATCCAATCCTGAATTAACCAGGATCTCCCCAAGTAAACCTATATTGACCTGATTGTATGCGTTTTCAATATCAAGTACACACATTACCACCTTCTTACCCTCTTTCTTCAATTCACTAGACCAAAATAAACATTCGTTCACACACATGGCCGCAGATTTCCCTTTACGATAGGCAAAACACCCATCAGGAAAAACTCTGTTACCTTCCGCCCATTCCATTACTCTATCCTTCAGCATCATGTTTAAGCTTTTTGCAATTACCGAAAGCAGCGAAATTGGCCTAAAATTTTTTATGTCCTTTAAATCCTTATTTGGTTTCGGGATTGGTACAATTTTAACTATTCTCCATTTTTCTGGTACATTATTCTCATTAAAGCACTTTTCAAGTTCTTTAACAAATAACCTCTTTGTATCATCAGGTAGCCTATTTAACATTTCGAAAGTGATTCTATCTACCCCTCCGGCTGATTTTTTCTTCCTATTCAACACATCGTTTAGTTCACTAACAGAGAACTCCAACAACTGTTTCCCCTGGCCACTGTCGCTACCATCAGATGAATTGTGCACAGTGTTACTGTTCTGTTTGTCAATTTGATCACCCAACATTGCAAGATATTTATCGTTGTTATCACACAACCAACTTGAGTTCCCTTTTTGACAGCCTTTAACCCTATTTACAAACCTCCAAGCCTCCGTGGTGTTTGGACTCGAATTCAGTTCTATAATTTTGTTTTTGTAGCTATTATTTTTAGCTGTTTTAACCGCTTTTCTCCACTTTTCCTCTTCATTACAGAGTATCTCAAAGTCGCTGATGCTACTGGATCTTCTTGCTTTCTTCCTGGCCACCAGCAGTAGCCTGTACATCTTACTTAAATCATCATCCCACCACATTTTCGGCGAGCCCTTTACTTTGTTTAAATCGATGGTTGCCTTTCTAATTTCAGTGTGAATTTTATCCTGCAAATTATCTAAACCACCGTCATATTTACATTTGGATAGTGCAAGCTCCAGTTTCCTTTTTTGAAGGAAAGGGAAAGGTTTATTCATCGAGTCACTTAGTTCAATGACAATCGGACGATGATGGCTACCACCAACATAACCTTGATCACATTTCCAACACATTCTCAGCAAGGAATTTGTAAATGAAAGATCCAGAGCAGAAAGCCCTCCACCCTCATATTTGTTGACCGAAAAAGTTGGGCTACCATCGTTCAAACACTTTAAGCCACTCTTGCTGGTTATATTTTGCAAAACTTTTCCTTTTGGGGTGTCTTTATTACACCCCCACACCCTCAACTTAGCATTGAAATCGCCTAAAAAAAGAATATTCTCCGTACCTTCCAAAAAAGTCAGTAATCTACTGACCTCATAATCAAAAATATATCTGTTTACTCCCGGTGGAAAATAGGCCGATGCAATAGTAAGATTGTGGTTTAAATTAGTCGTTTTCACTACAACGATATCTTGACAAGTGTTATATCTCACTTTTTTTAAACTTAATGTTTTTCCTGCAACCGATGGCAACTCCTCCGTAGCCATCCGCTCGATATTTAGTAATTAAATTGTAATTTATTAATTTGTGTCTCGCTTTTGTATCTCCATGCGAAAAAACTTCTTGAAGTACTACTACATCAATATTATTGTGATTAACAAAAAAATCAATATAATCACGGTTTGCATTTAAACTTTGGCAATTAAGTTGAAGTATTTTGACGGTCATCATTAAAAGAATTTACATACAGCCTGTCGTCTACCTTCGTTTTCATCATTGTACTCAAAACTTTAATTAATGGTTCATCCTCACTTATATTAAACTTTTCAATTAATTGACTTAAAAGTCTTTCGATTTCACCTACTCTTTCCCATCTTTTACTTTCGTACACCGGCACTATCCTATCCTTAGCTACTCTTTCCTTGTTCACACTTTCTTGCTTCTCCTGTACCCTGCCTTGCCTTGATGCATGCACACCTTTCCAAGCCATCGCAGAATACTTCCTCTTTGTGAGCAATTTGTTAGCAATTACTGTATTATTTTGCACATTTTCTTGCTCATTATTGAGCAAAGGAAAAGATGAGTCATAATCTGCAAGCATAGAAAAACTGTTCCTTCTCCCTCCATCACCATAAGTGTCGAAGGCCTCACGCTTGGACATTTTTTTTACCGTCATGATCTCGATTACCTGCTTTTCTTTCTCCCAGCTGGGACATTTCGACCTATTCACCGATACATGTTCGCCGCTACCGCACAAAATGCACTTTGGATTGCTACTTGTGCATTTCCCAACGCATCGCTCCTCTTTTCCACATATGATGCACCTATTACTAGCCCTGCATGAAAGTTTTGTGTGCCCGAGTCGCCCACAATTGAAGCATTGCTTCGCTCTCGGAAAAAAAAAATTCACCTTGAAGTTAACACAAAAGATCTTCACCTCTTCAGGAATTACATTCCCCTTGAAACCAATTTTTATGGACATTGTAGGTACAAAATTGCCGTTGTTGACAAGATCACGTCTAGTGATCCTGGACACAGACTTAACTTCAACACCCGAC